AACAAAACCATTATACCCTGATTTCCCATTTTAAATGGGTTCAGGGTATAAAAAGCAACTTGCGGCCTCTAAAGAATAAGAGCAAGTTGGCGCCAGTGGTTCAATTCGTAATAATATATTGATTTCACATCAACGCAAGCGCATCTAAACGCGAGCAGCGGGAGAGCAATCGTTGGGAGAGCGACACTCCCGTGCTAGCGCGTACAATAACAACTAATCTTTACAGTGCACTGTAACCACTGCAGTGGTTTAACTTAGTAATTAAATAATTCATTTTCTTAATCTATACAATTTCAATAATAAAGCAGATGGCATATATCCAAATGCCGTAACAATTTTAATCAATAACTAAATAAGGAGACAAGTTATCGATTTTTAAAGCAAAAATCGATATGCGCGTGGTATATACCTAAGAAATAAAAAAAACTGAAGTTTGTAGCTCTTATATCTTCTGAGATCGATGCGTTCAAACATAAGGACAGACAAACAGACGAACGGACGGACAGAGCTAAATCAATTCAGCTCTTTGCCCTGATCAAGAATATATGCATACAACTTGAGGGTATGCCACGCCTCCTTCTGCCTGATACATACTTTTAACTAAACAACCTTACCCGGATTTCTCATTTTAATGATCATAAAAATTTCAGATCGTTATTATAAAATTGAAATGCGTGCATGTGCCAAAGCACAAGTTTCTAAACAAAAAATTTATAAAATGAGTCCACATTTAAGGGTATATAAAGCGAGCAACAATTGTGAGAAAAAAAGTTTATTTTCCTAAGCAGTTAGTGTCCGTCTGTCTGTCTGAAGTAAAATCAGCTACGTATAATATAAGGGTGAACGGGTGGTTATAAGGGTTGGGTAAATTACAACATACATATGTATTTATTACTTACTTGGACCTCTATGTGTGAAGCTGCTGGTAATCGAGAAACAATCAAATGATCAGTAGTACATTCTGTAATTAGCAAGCTGTTTACGCTTAAACAGTACTTCAAAGGCTTATATAAAGCATTCTCATTTGTACACTTAATAGAGAATAACGTTTTGATTGCTTCGCCGTCAAGAGGGCTTACGTAACAAGCGGTAAGTACAGGACCATAATTTCTTTCAAGACGCAGACTGGAGGATCCTTGGTATTTTGACGATGGTCTATATTTATGAATAGCTTCCATATTTAAGTATACTATAATAGATGTTTTATTTGATACATAATATAATAGCCTTTTCGATGAGCTCACTAAAGTATGATCGACGGTCCACATCCACTTAGTAATTTTCAAAGATTTGCACGAAAGACAATGGGCCTTAAGGTGAACATGAGAAGAATTGGAGAACCTATTTCCTTTGCAGTTTGTTACGCACTTGATAATTACATCGATGTAAAGTCTGGGGTATGATGAAAATAATATGGTTTGCATAGCAACCGATGACCGAAGAAGATCAAATGTGGAACGTATATTTAAAATAAATCTAATTGACTGTTCGCCTTGTTGAGTAAACGGTGGAATCGTGAAAGCAGCACCTGAAATTAAATCTTGGGTGTTGGATTATGTCATTGCTATGAATAGTTAAATAAGCCATACCTTTCCCCATTTGCAGTTTACAGACTTTTTCTATATTTATTGCAGAATCACAGAGCCATTCAAATAACAACAGTTGCTTAGCATTTTTTGGCAATGAAAAGTCACGGCTGTGGCTTCCATCAATGGTAATTGAATTGCCCATAAATACCTTACGTGATGGACCTCCACGTATGATAGCATATAAGCGTTGTGGAGCAAGAGCAACGTAACACTAAGTGACAATGAATTAGCTATTCACTTATCCTCACGTATGTAAATAACTTGTATATAACTTACTCTTGCTACAAGTGGAGAGCGGCGGCCGACAATTCGTGCATTTAAGCGCACCATTACCATTCGGTTTAACTGAGACTGATACAGAATACTGAGTTTATATCGTCCAATTTTTAGTTCTGGCTTTGAAGTTCCTCCTAAATAGCCTAAAAGCTCTAAATTAAACATTTAATTATGTATATGTTGAAACTAATTATTTTTCTTTGCATCTTACGGCGCTCTGTGCTATCATGCACAGTCCAGTAATAGTGAGTAAATATATCCATGGGACAGCGCCGAGTATAAATTGCCCGAAGGACAATTATGTCAGAAACTTCGTAGTGTACTGGATAATCTGCATTTACGCAATGCGGTATACTAAATTGTGGCTCACAAGGTACATTTTCATCTAAATCAATATATGTATAACTCGAAGCTGTGAGCTTGTCTGATGTAATCCCAATCGTTGTAATCAAGACAGAAACATTATGAAAGCCGCTTTTGTAAAAATTTGCTCTTGAAACATGGTAAAAACATTCTTGGTAAGGAGGATTCTTGTGGGTGAATATACCATTAAAGTTAAGAGTTTGATTTAAGCTTGCTGTATGATACCATAGAAGTTGTTCACGGTACTCGCTTGAATTCGTTTGGAAATAGTCAATTATGCGTTCTTCATCTATGCTCACTTTGGTTATAAACCACACATCTCTAAGATACTGTAGCGTTACAATAATGACGCTGGTGTGATTCACATGGACTCGATTAACAAACACGTATGGGCTGTCGTACCTCATAAAGGCCATCGCATTTGCCAAGTCAAACAAAATAAGAAATTGTGTCACTCTCATTGTATTACAAAAAGATATTTAATTTAAGGACCAACAAAAAAATTTGAATTTTCTCTTGCCATAGGCCTACTAGCATAGATTTAATACCTATCGAAAATTTAAAATTAGGCTAAAATGTGGTAAACGACATTCTTCGTTTTACGGTCAGGTGCAAGAACAAACAAACTTTAGTCGTGCAAGAATGTGCTGTGCATTTTCAATAGGTTGCAATGATCCAATGCGATGGCAAATCTGCCCTTGAATCTGTAAATTCAAAGTCATAGTTATTGTTATATTTACAAACACTTTTTACAAAAATCTAACAAACTACATTCAAAATTTTTTTAAAATCATAGTGAACGAATACACTTTACTATGATGGTGTTTAGTTTCGTATTGATCTTTATTATT